CTTCACTGACAAGCATTTGTAGCATGTTCTCTGGCTCCCCCTAGTAACCAGTTCTGGTAATACACATGAAAAAAATTCAGTTTTTTTTTAATTGTAATGTTTTTAATATTTTCAGACTGTGGAAAATTGTAATGTTTTTAATATTTTCAGACGGTGGATAAGTGAAACCACAGACAGTAATCCTGCGGATAAAGAGTTTCCTACTGTATATAGCAACCATGCTCCAGATGTTCCCATCATCTAACTCAGCATGGCTAATGGACGGGGATGTTGGGTGTAATCCAAAATACAGTTGGGGAAGTGGTTCAGCCTTGTATAACATTAGCATACAACCTTTTGTCCAAGAAACTCAAAGCAGTCTTATTGTGTTAGCTCACAACAGTCTTGTGAGTCTGGGAAAAATAAAAGGGAACAACTGTCCCAAGACCTCCCCCTGAGTTTTTTTTTGGGGGGGGGTTGTATTTATTGATTTATACAAATAGACTCAGTATGCTTCGAGAGAACCTATTTGAGAATCAGCACTTGGCAGAGTTGTGGAAATTCTCCAAATCCACTATCCAGCACAGTCACTGACTGAAGAGGAGGGACGCTAGAAATGGTAGGCTAAATAAGTCACTTCTTCAAGCTCCACCACAAAGGTAAATGGGGTGAACTTATAGGATAACTGTGGTCTCTGTAATACCCAAATATCTGTACCTTACATTGCACAGCTTATAGAAGAACACCTCCCGCAAAAAATAAGTTACTGCAGCTGCTTCCCTAAAGGAAAAAGAGCTGTATGTTATTAATGAGCTGTCCTATCAATGCCTTGCTCTGCATTAATTAGGCCTGAAAACAAACAACCTCTCCTGCTGACAAATGGAAAGACCCAAGCCAATGCACTCGGTAATTTTTATCCATGTACAAGACGGACAAAGCAGCAAGCTTGCTAGGCTACGGAGTCCTCTGTCTGTGAGATTATTGCGGCTAATCCACACACCGCGGTACGAAACGAAGCTGCTGAAGGAAAGGAGGGAAAGGGTACGGTCATGTTGGTCAGCACAACCAGCTAGAACAGAGCTATCTGAGCACGTCAAGGGGGTCGGGGTCAGGGTTGCGTGCCTGGCGGACTACGGCTTGGCACCCACCTGGCTGCGGAGTAGTGGTGGGTGGGGTGGTGGCAGGGCTATCGGTAGTGATGAGGATGGTGCTGGTGGAAGTGGTGGTCGTGGTGGTAGGAGCAGCAGTGGAAGTGGTGGTGGTTGTGGTGGTGGTTGTAGTGGTGGTGGTTGCGGTGGTTGTGGTAGTGGTTTGGGGAGTTGTGGTGGTGATGGTGGTAGCTTTTGTGGTAGTAATTCGCTTTGGTCGCTTGCTTGCTGGTGGAAGAAAAATGACGGAAGAAAGAAAGCATTGGATATTTCTCTTAGGACTGCTTCTCAAGTTACATTTCAAGGACTGGCAACTCTCGCCTCATGTCTTAGGGCAGGAATCTGCCATTCTCTTCCTGGTGATGGATCTCCCCCCCCCCCCCCCCTCGTAGCTTGGACTGTTACTTCTCTAAAGGAACTCCTTGTTTGTTCCTCCCTGGATTGAAGTGGCACGTTTTTGACCTGCCACGTTGCACTTTCCACTGAAATAACACTGCATTCCTGGCTATTTTTGGAAAAAGCAGTGAATTTCCAACTGTAGTGCAATGAAAGTGTATGCTTGTGTGTGTGAAGGGTGGCAGAAACCAGCAGGAGGCCACAAGTTGCTCACCTCTGTCTCATGGCAGGTGAAAATGACAGGCTTAAGACTAATTGAAAAGCGATTCTCTCTTTCAGTTATCTGGGGTAGGGAGCTGGATTTCTCAGCATATCACCCCAAGATCTGTGAGCCATCAAGGTCAATGTAGGACACTGATCACACACGGATGGCCTCCCGTGTACCATGTGCATATACCACGTGTTCGGTATGTGCCATGTATTCCGGGAGAATAACCAGTGTGGCGTCCTAAGACCCCTGCATTGTGCGCAAGCCAAACTGGCCTTCCCTCTTCATTCCCTGTATAGGAGCCAACTAGTTTGGCATTTCAGCATCACCTGAACAGAAGTGACAGGATAGGACTTACTGTCACATCGGAGGCAGCTAGCTTGGGGAAAACGCATAGCTGTGTTCTCCAGCAGGGAGGAACGGCCAGAGGGGCATGGGACAGAGAGGTGAGCCAAGCTGGTGCTTTCCAGCTTCTGTGGTCTGGAGACCATTGCTTTTCTCTGTCTAATCATAGGGGCCAGCCCGGTTCCCAGCATCCTGCTCGGGCCCCCACATGAGTGAGCAGCAGTCACCACTGGGCTCACAGATATTCTCCCAGAGGATACAAACAATTCTCAAAGGCACAAATCAACTTCCTCGGGAGCAGCAGCTGGCGATTTCTTGACACCTTCCTCTAAAAACATTGGCCTCCTCTCCAGAGGCAAAACGTCAGGGCACAAGCAAAGGCCTTTGCCACACACACAAACACACACACACCCCCAAGATGGAGCGTTGCCTCTTCGGCCTTTGGATGGGCCCTCCTGGCTCTCCAGGAGGGAGGACCCCTACCCCAGAGTCTCTACCACAGAAGCCCCCACTGTGGGGTTGCTGGTTTTAAATGGTTAAACCAAACTAGGCCTCTTGTTGGATAGGCACTAGAACTTTGCCATAATTTTGCATCACGGACCGAATTCAACCACAGCAACTTGGGTCCACCGGGCAATGAACTACCCAGCGTTTTTTATTACACACAGCGTTCATGGCTGATTGGACTGAACATCTTGAAAATCAAATCATTACTCCCCCACCTTCACACTTCATACGGTTAACTTAGATTTCATTTCCTTACTACCGATTTTGGGCCAAGTATCCTCAATATGTCATTAAAATGAATGTGGATGTAGGGGGAAAAATCCCTAAGGAAAATCTTGTGAAATGTCTGTTGGGTGCTTCTTCTTCTTTTTTTTTCCCAAGGAAGGATGGAGAGGAGAGTGAGAAAGACAGAACAAATCCGTTACAATGGGTCGCAAATAACATCCAAAATTATACAGCCTCTCTCCTATCTGAAGTTTGAAGATGGTGTGCTGTTCTCCCCCACATTCGATGCACAATATGTATAGATTACAGACAAAGTAATCCCAATACCTGGCAACTTAATCAATACCTAAATGTATTTGCTGCTTGGTTTGTCACACGAAGAATTCATTTTATAAGCTCTAACGCAGGACAATGTGTTTTACCTTTCTGCTCTCTGCTTTAAGGCCTTTCTCGCGGACTATGACGAGACCGTTAAGGCAGAGATCTGTCTCTTTCCATCAGAAGCCACATCCATTAATAACACCAGTGTCATTATCCAAGCCACTGGTGATCTGGTAACCATGGAGGCCAAATTCATATTGCATTAATGAGCTTTATTGATCTCTCTCTCTCTCTCTTTCTCTCTCTCTCTCTCACACACACACACATTTTATATTTTGGAAGTTGTCTTATGGCCAACACGACTGCCCGCATTTTGGGTCTTATGGCCAACACGACTGCCCGCATTTTATTCAAAAAGAGTATTCACAGCAAAACAGAATTAAGTCCCCAAGCTCTCACCATTTCACCCACACGCACCATGAGGTGGGAGCACCTTCAGCTTCACATTTCTCACTACCGGTTCCAAAATCACGTTTGGAACTATTTTTTCCCATTAGCCATATGCTGTGATGCTTAATTACTCCACAGCGCCTTCCAACATTCAGATCGGGAGTCCAAATAGTAAGTAAGAGCCAACCCAGCTCCTGAGGGAGACAGGACAGCCAAAGAGCACAATCTCCACCTTTTCCCGGTTAAAACAGTGGCAAGACCAGGGTAGTGGCAACTCAAAGCCTACATGGCAGCAATTCTGCACAGGCAACGTATTTGCTAGTCTGGACAGGAACTGCACAAGGTCATTGTGAGGTACTTACTCATTCTGTCACTAAACATAGCCCGACAACATTTTCTTAGTAAACATTCTGTTTTCTGAAGCTCCCCACACTCTAAAGATGGCAAATGATGTGCCTCTGTTGCTCAGAAATCCGACACCGTTTCTCCTTGTTAGGACCCAGAGTTTAAAGGATTGCTGATGATCCTTCAGTGGTATTGGGAGTTCCTGGCCCTCATATGCATTTTCAAACCCATCTTTTATTTCCTTCCTGCTTCCTTTCTCACAATCCGTGAGGGTGGGGTGAGAGACAATGAGATTACATCAGGACCCCCTTATCTATGGGGGTTCGATTCCAAGCGCCCCGTGGATGCCGAAAAATGCGGATTATAGCAACGCTATACACAGCATGGTGTTGCCAGAAATGGCCACTCGGGGAAGCCAGACACCAAGTAGTAAAGGTTCCCCTTGACATTTTCAATCCAGTCGTGTCTGACTCTAGAGGGCGGTGCTCATCCTGTTTTCAACCCGTAGAGCCAGCGCTTGTCCAAAGACACGTGGCCAATGTGACTAGGGAACCCTGTTTTACCTTCCCACTGAGGTGGTACCTATTTATCTACTCACATTTACATGCTTTCGAACTGCTAGGTTGGCGAGGAGCTGGGACAAAGCGACGGGGGCTCACTCCGTCGCGTAGATTCGATCTTACAACTGCTGGTCTTCTGACTCTGCAGCCCAGGCTTCTGCGGTTTAGCCCACAGCGCCACCACGTCCCTTTTTAACATGATCTTTAGAAATATATATTTCTAGGATTTTTCTTTTCATATTTATAATATTTTCAGACCACGGATAAGTGAATCAGCAGATACTGATCCTGCACAGTATTGTGAACTCATCCAAGCCTTTCAAAGATATTTCTTTGACAAGGGTGGAAAATGAGAGACAATTAGAGGAGCAGATAAATATCACCTGGAAGTTGCTAAAGGACAGAGATGACAGCCATTCTTTCCCCCACTGAGAGCCATGCACACAAACAGGGTCATGCACCAAAACCGTCACCGTTCAGCATGTCAACGTTTCTTTTTCTCTTTTAAAAACTTACTGCCAAAGTTTGGAGCTGCACCTAGAAGGGGGGAAAAAGAAAGAGAAAGAGAAAATAAAAAAAGAGGTAGCAAATAGATCATTGGTGCTAATTAAAAGCAGTTTTTCCTTCCTAAGGACACAGGCCAGTTAGGCCACGTCAAAACAGGCTGCGCAGGGCAACGCACAGAGATCAGGTCTCTCATCCACATCATGAGCTGTGAACCTGTGAGCCATAACCCACTAGTGACCTAACTTATTAACACTCTTCTCCCTTGCCCTTTCTCTGAGCAGGGTCATCTCGTCCCATCATCTTTGGTATAACAGCTTATTAATACAGTTACACTTCTGGCAAATGAAGTTTACTGGCGCTGAAAGGTGAAAAGTGCAGGCAGATTGTTTTTTACAGGGGGGAAAAAAACCCGGTCCGGGTGGAAGAGCATTCCGAAGGCATTTTTTCAGGCTTCCTGGCAGGGGACTTAGGGACTTGCTCCATACGGGGTCTCTGGCCCCTTGATAGCAGCACATAGCTAGACTTGATTGTCTAATATAGTACAGTATTGTGAACTCATCCAAGCCTTATTCCTGATTGCTTCATCTCGCATGGAAGGAGGAGGAGGAGGAAAGGAAAGAATAGGCATTAAAGTGGCAGCATGGATTGAAAATAGCAGTTAAGAGTAATCCCCCAAAATACGGAGTAACGTTTTGTGTAGTTATTGCTGTGATGTGCCATCAAGTCAAAACTGACTTATAGTGACCTTGATAGGGCTTTCAAAGTAAGTACAGTACTTAAGGTTTTACCGGTTCCACTGCCCCCAGTGAGTTTTCATGGCTGGGCGGGGGATTAAATCCTCTACTCCAGAGTCCTAATTCATCGCTTATCCGCTGCACCACAATGGGTACAAATTTTGAGTAGAAATTACCTGTTATCCTCCAGAAATTCGCGACTTCGACAATAAAATGCCAGACACAGTCAATCCAAATTATAAAAACTAATACCGGTCAATGTTTTTTTATTATTCTAATGGACTGCGTCTGGTATTTTTGAATCGTTATCATCATCATCTTTCAGCTGCAGAACTAGAAGGGACCCTATAAGATCATCCAGTCCAGCCCCTGTCAAGGAGGCCTGGGGGGGAATCAAACTCCCAACCTCTGGCTCCGCAGCCAGATGTTTAAGCCACTGACCTCTCCAGGTTTTTCAGGCAACCATAGAGCAGGCAGTTTAATATTCCTCCTTGCACTTTTATCTTCACAACCACCTTGTGAGGCAGGTCAAGATGACTGGTTCGAGGTCAGCCAATCAGTTTCATAACTCAGGAGTCTGTCTCTTGACCGTGATTAACCAAATTGGCCCTGCAAGTCAGAAGACTGGATCTTTTATACCTTGAAGCTCCAGATAATGCAGAGAGGAAGGAGAGGCACGCCACAATTCCCTCTGGGAATGAATGGATTGGGTCAATTTCTGACCCCATGTCAAATGTACACGTTTTTATTCAACATTTTCTCCTCCCCCATTTTTTTCTGCACTGAAGCATAAATCTAGATAATTGCAAAGTAGTACATATTTGAACATACACATTTAAATAAGTGTGCATAAATTTGCCCTATTTTTAAATGGATTCCAGAGCTCTTTTTGAGCTGAGAAAGTTCATCGCGACCAATTTGGTACCTCTTTGACTTTCACGATGAACATGACGATGAAGTTTTTCTATCCTTTAAAAAAAATAGCTCATCGGATCAAGGTCGTTTCTATTAGAATTGGCAAGGTGTGAATCCCTCCAACATTCCTTATGGAGATTTTCTTGAGACAACTATCGAAAAGGATCAGAAGTCCAGTTTTTCCCTTCCTCTTGGTTTATTGAAGGCGGTGGTCCCCAAACCTTTTAAACTCGCAACTCCCTTGACTCACTGGCCGCAGCTCCCCAATACAATAATTCGGGTGGAAGGGGGAGAAGGGAAGGATGAGAGGATTCTGTGGCACCCCCTGGCTGGGTTTGGTGAGGTCCCTGGGGCACCCAGTTTGGAAACCTCTGATTTAAGTTTTGGGAAATCTCCAGAGTTGCAGACTCTATCCTGCAGAATGGGCACCTCTGGTTCTCAACACCAGGGGCAAGCTGAGCATGGAAAGAGAGACAGCGCGCAAGATCACAGGAGCTGTCAGCACCAGAAGGGTTCTCCGTGGCCCCTTTGAACGATGGCAAAAGCACAGCGGTATCTGACAGGCATGCTCACTTTCAAAGATCCCCCGACTCCCCGTTCCTGCCAAACACAACACCATCCTGTCATGGCCTTTGGAGCCTAGAATTTAGCTTTGATCATCCTGAAGCCCATAATATTTTTTTTTCCAAAGATGGAAAGCAAGGACAGAACAGAGGGGCATCTCTGGGAACACTTCAGACGGTTACATCTGCTTCAAAGGGCAGTGGCAGAGCATTTGCTGTTCCAATAGGAACGTGATGCCATTTTTTTTCCCTCCACTGCCACTGGCTAGCTATTCCAGCAGATTGACCGAGGCCCCTGATTTATGACCAGAGCAGGAGAGGGTCCTCCACCCCAAAGGTCAGAGGGAGACACCTCCTTGTGACTCCAAGGACTCTTTGTTATAATTCTCAAGAGCACAAAATGGACAGCCAGCCTTTTCCAGACTGAAGACCAGATTCTCAGGTCTGAAAGCTTTTGGGGGCTATGCTCCCAGTGGCAGATGGGGCCGAAGGCTCTGTGTGGGCTGAGAAACAAATGGGATGGAGCCAAAATGCCACGCATTGACTTATGGATCTATTTCTTGTATCTTCCATCTTCCACCTCTCGGGGGTTAAAAGGGGGCATCCATGCTTCACTACACAATGTTACGTCAATCTCTCCCTCCTTCCTCCCCAGATCCTACCTCACAGGGGTCTTGTGAAGATAAAAATAGAAGAACTGTATGCTGCCATGGGTTCTTCAGAGAAAGTACAGCATACAGATGCGACGAATGAATGAATAACTAAAGTGTACGAATTGTTACACTTATTTATACTATAACCACAAAATGATCGTCTGCCATCAAGTCATGCCTGACGGCCCTTTTCAAGGGTTTCTAGGTAGAAGTGGTTGACCCTTCCCTTCTCCTAAGGGGCGCCCTGGGACTGTGCAGCTTGCCCGAGGCCACCGAGGTTGGCTCTCCTGGGATGTACAGTGGGGGAATCAAACTCCCAACCTCTGCCTCCTCAGCCAGAGGCTTAACTCACTGGCCTATCCCACCATGTAGACAAATATTTATTGACAATAAAATGTTTATGAAGAGTAACAAGTGCACGCGGATACATTATATAACGTTGATGTCCTTGTGCGTTACTGTTCTACCATCTCTCAGAGTGGTATGTGTTTGTTCCCTTTTTTTTTTTTGCATTTATCTACTTATGATTTTAGCTTTCATATTGTCTTTTAATGACATAAGCTGCCTCTTTACACTCCTTGTTCTTAGCTTTAAATATAGTCTTTTCTTGATGCAAACCAACATGGTACATTCCTTGTTTCCGGCTTTAAAGATCGTCTTTCAAAGATGTAAGCTGACTTGGGTCGTTTTTAAGGAGAAAGGCAGGGTAAAAATATTTAACAATAATAATAATAAACTGTTGTTACTCTTATAATGGTCCCTCATGGATACACATTTTTATTGTAAATTTTTTTTTGCAGCCCAAAACATCTGGAAAGCATTAACTGAAAAAATAAATGCCACCCTGGAGGGTGAGTTCTAAGCAACATTTCCAGATCAGAATCCACTTTCCCGGGATTTTGGCTCGAAGTAAAGCAGCCCTTGGGCAGCCGGCTACTTACAAACATTAGGAGATCCATTGGGTCTAGGAAGGTAGGAGCCGGCACGCCACGATTTGCTGCGGAAGTTTTTCTTACACCTGCCACAGTCCTGCCCGGTGGTGTTGTGTTCGCACTCGCACTGGAGGCTCCCCTCTCTGAAGGTGCACAAATTGGCGTGGAGGTTGCACTTGCATCTGCGGGAGGGACACGGAGAGAAGCAAGCTGTGATCGTCCTCGTTTAAGTCACTGGCGCCTTTCGAAAATGTATTCGTGCGCTTTCCAACGGCGGTTGTCGGAGCCGCTTTACAACATCACAGAACTTTTGCAAGACAAAAACCTTAGAAACTCGTTCAAGAGCCAAGGTGTCCAAACAGCTAAGCGGAGAAATGTTTTCCAATCAGCCGTGCCCCCCAAGAAGCTTACAACTAACGTCTTGTGCCTGAAAAGTAAACTCTGAATAAAGCCTGAGTGTGGAGATCTCACATGCTCTATAATCATAGAATGATAGAGCGACAGAGTTGGAAACAACCTCAAAGGTACTGTCTAGTAGTCTAACTTCCTCTTCAACTGTGGCACACAACACCACCAATTATTACAAATGCAAAAAATCAGGGAAGGGGGAACAGAAGATTGGAATGCAGTAGGACCCCTGTATCCACGGGATCTGTATATGCTGATTCACTTATCCACAGACTGAAAATATTAAAAATATTACAAGAGAAATTCCAAGAAATAGATATTTCTAACTATGAAGTTAGCATAACTGGCTCCTTGAGGAAGCCAAAGACTATGCCTTACATGGCTGGCTGCACCATATAAAGAAGACACAGAAGTACCATATAAAGAAGTCACGCAACCGAAGGTGAGCAACAGGTCTCTCGGTGAACTGATGTGGCCTAAAAATATTTTGCCCTGGTAAGGGACGGATGGATAGAATCATGATGATGAAAATTAATACTATGGGCCCAAAACAGCAAAATGTGTAGGGCGGAAGCTGTGATAGTTAAACGGGTATCAAACTGGTACAGCTGTGGAATATAAATTCATTCTTTGGCATCTTGACTATATCATTTTGCCCTTTCCATTTTCTCTTCTCCAGATTAAATATGCTAGTCCTTTCAAGCTTTCCTCACAGGACAGATTTGCCACCTCTCTGCGGACCACCCTGTGTTGCTCTCCACTGAACCCTTTCCAATTTCAAGTGTAGCATCTGATACTCCAAGTGACAAGGGGTGTAAAGAAATGAAAATTCTCAGGTGTTGGGAGACAGCTAATCTGATCAATTTCCCAAATCTTATTAAGGTCTGGATTCAAGCTTTAGTTGGAACTGGCAAGGGGAAAGCCATACTTTTAATTTTTTAAAATGTATACCAGGAATATATATTTACTTTTTTTGTTTATTTTATTCCCTCCATTTCTTCTTCAATCTGCTTTTATAGACTACCTCCTCTTCTGTTTAGAATTAAATAAATTCCCTATATCCACTGGGGATATTAGGTTATATTCTACTTGCAGAAATGCACAACAAGTTTTAGAAATCCGAATGATGTGTGTATTGACCTTTAATGTGACTGCCTGTTAACAACTTTAGTATCAGATACAGAGAACTGATTGCAGATGTGATGTGCACTGTAAGAAGAAAAATTATCTGATGGTTCCTTGCAGATGCATTGATTATATAATTTGGAAGATCAATTATTGTTGTAAAAGCCTTTGACGCTCTAAAGGAATAATGTGTGTCAAACACAGGAAGGTAATGAAAGACTTCAGCACTGACATAGCTCTCTTGAAAGAGACAAAACTGATGTGCAAGAAGGAAAATAAGGGAACCGATCTCTGAGCTTAAGAATGTAGTGAACACTTACAATTTTTCTCTTGATGAGAACATATTGGGAGATTGATACAGCCTATTGAAAAAAATGAGTAGCCACTGCAAGGTTTTTCACTTTTCCACAATACATTTTCATAAGGAACATTCATATACACACAAATAAGGGGCTTTTCCACTTAGGTGGGAGGGACGAAGGGAGGGAGGGATGATAGATAGATAGATAGATAGATAGATAGATAGATAGATAGATAGATAGATAGATAGATAGATAGATAGATAGATAGATAGATAGATATTGATTGATTGATTGATTGATTGATTGATTGATTGATTGATTCCACCGATGCAGCAAACAGCTGCTGAAAAAACGCTGCAGATGTTTTTTAATAAAAGGTCGTAGAGAAAATCAGAGCTAAAAAGGAGAGGTGGATCACACCAAAATACTTGGGAGTGGACTTATAACAGCAGAGAGTCTGAAGCGTGGGGCGAGGAGGAGAGCTGTCACTCTCGCTCTCTGCTAGATTATACAAATCAAGTTTGCTCTGTGCCTGAGCGCTGTGGCTGCTCCTTCCATCTGCCATCTCAGGGAGAGGCGTTTTCTGCACGACCGTCTTCACCCCTTTGAATAGGCAATGACCGGTGCTCAGGTGCCAAGGAGCCTGACTTTCTGAATTATTGAACACTTGCAGCGCATCGGCTTCCTCTCTCACTTTGCAATTTCTTTTTTTAAACAGAGGAAGCAAGCTGGTGCAGGGTTGTGGCAGGTCATCGCCTCAGCACCTAACCGGGGCGGGCGGGGGGGGGAGGGGGGCTAGAGAGTGACACTTGCTTGCCGAAGCAAGCGTAATGCCCAGAAACCATAAGGACATCAGAAACTGCCTCTGAGGCAGAAACTTTAGAGGTGACACTTGGTTTGGCACCGACGCTTCTGAGAAGTAAAGGGAGGTCGCTGGAGACCACAAGCTATTCATGAGTCAGCAGTGCGACGCAGCATCAAAAAAGGCTAATGTAATTCTAGCTTGCATGAACAGAAGTACAGTATGTGCCGATCAAGGGAAGCAATAGTTCCACTCTGTTCTGCTTTGGTCAGACCTTATCTGGAATACTCTTTCCAGTTAGAGGTGCTACAGTTTTAAGATGTATTATGGAGAAGCTGGGCTATGTAACCCAGAGGGTGGTGTCAAGAGGTTGAAAGGGTCTAGAGTGAGTTCAGCCTCCCTGAACCCTTGGGTTGTTTGGGAAAGGATTGATCTGAAGGAATGTTACAGGGGGAGAAGGAAATCAGAACAAGTCTTGACCTCAAGCAGACTCAAAAGGAAAAACCCCTCCAGGGAAAAGAATCCAGGACCTCCAAAGCATGGCTGTAAGTTCCAACTGAGATCTTACAGCCAAGATCTGGCCTTACTGGGGACACAAAAATGCTTTAAACAAATATTTTTGGATAGTTAGAAGTGACGACTGCAACAAAGTGGGGCGTGGTGCCCTCATCCTTCGGAAAAGGACTCCTCAGAATTCAATCCAGCCAGGCAGAACTTTTTAAAGGATGCTTCGTTCCAGTAGACCTTTTGGTCTAGATGGGCGGGGTATAAATGTAATAAAATAAATAAAATGAATCCCACCTATCAACTCTCCCTTCAATAGGTACTCAGCATGGTCACTCCTCATAAAGCTATTTTGAGGAGGGGAGTAGACTGTGTTTAAAAAAAAATAGTAGTTCTACAAACTCCAGTGGTTTCCCAAGCATGCTAATATCAAAGCCCTGTTCCTCACTGCCTCTGTTCTGCCCGTGTGGAATCATCATCTCAGCTTATTTTCAGAGAAAGTGTATTTTTTTAAAAAAATATTCTTCAGCCTCCCTCGCAAGAAGGATTTTTATGAAAAGATCATACTTTATGATGGAGCAGCCCTTTGAATTCCTTGCCTTCTCCTCTGTCCATGCCTGTCTTGACTGAATTATTTTTTATTATTATTACTTATTGATTTCTATACCACCCACCTGGCTATCAAAGCCACTCTGGGTGGTTCAGAACAGAAAACAAAATCATCATCGACGTAAACAAACCAAAATAAAACAACGTCAAATAGCAAAGAAAAATAAACACACCCTAAACATGAGAAATCACTTAGAAACATTATGAGCTTAAAATAACCTGCAAAAACAACAATTAAATTTTTTTTAATGGTTAAGATCGCAGGATCACTGACTTGGTAAATGCTCTGTGGTATAAGTTGCAGCTTAGGTTTTACAAAGACTATTTTAGGCAAATAAGGTCTTGCAAACAGCGCAATCTTAGCTGGCACACAGTATGACACGTCTGTTTTTATACAGTATTTAGGGGAAGTATTAGGAACGTCCAGGTAACTTTTCTACGCCACCCGCGGCCGTTCTAGGTTAGCCGTTCCTCACTGTCAGGCCCCATCTGCAGGGCAGAAAAATAAATTTCCCTCATCCCGAGGATCAATTTTGCCAGAGAATTGCTTTCTGAATGCGACCTTTGAGAATCATCAATCTAATCAGAAAACGATAACCAGCGCAACCTGACCCGGCGACGAAGCACTTTTCAGACCAATCAATCTGGATGCATTATTTAATAAGGAGTGGCGGAACAGCTCCAAAGGGCCGTGGCCGACCACCTCTCGTTGGGTCACTCGGAGATGTTCCCTTGAGGAAACGCCCCACCTGCATCCCCACATGGTGCCTTTCGAAACTGCCGGCCTGAGATTGCCTCCATTTTTCGTCCTTTTTCCTTCCCATATTTTTTTTCCTGTACCAGTCTGATTAGACGCAATTCTAGAATTCCTTGTCCCAAAAGCCACCTTCTGATCTGATCCTGTGGGTCCCTTTTCACTTTTTGCCGGCTGAGCAGCTGACTTTGCAAGAGAGGAAAGGACTCTATATCGGCTATCCAGGGCTTTTGCCCGAGACATTTTCCTACCTGAGGCAGAAAAACAGAGGCCACCCTACCCAGTCAAGTCAAGGTGCAAAGTATTCAAAGCCAGTGAAACGTATTTGGACTCCTAAGGCAGAAAACCCCTCAAAAACCCCTCACCCTGTTATTGTTCTCTGCTGAAGTTGGAGTAGCCCTAATATGGTTTTCAAGGAAGGTGAGATATTTAAGGAGTAGTCTTACCATCTCACCCTGTTATTGTTCTCTGCTAGAGTAGCCCTAATATGGTTTTCAAGGTAGGTGAGATATTTAAGGAGTAGTCTTACCAGGTCCGCTCCCCCAGGGAGCTTCCATGGCTGAGGGGGGGATTCGAACCCAGGGTCTCCCAAGTCCGCCTCCATCACTCTGCCCACTACACCACACCGGGTACCATGCCGTGCCAACAAATTTAGGATCAAGCCAATTGCTTGAACCT